AAAAAAAAAAAAAAAAAAAAAAAAGGATTTTTCACAAATTCAGGAAACACTTGAGAGGCAAAACCAACATCCTGGCGCAGGAGATGAGGCCGGCTCCTGACAGCGGGCCAGCCTGCCTGGCCCAGGGAGGCCTGCAGCCAGGAAATGGCCGCCGCAGGGTCAGGTCATGGGGGACCCTGCGCCCGGGCGGGCCTCGCACCCCTCGCCACGCACTGGCAAAACCAACAGACCTCTTCATGGGAAATGTGCTGAAAAATGTGCTGATCTGTGTTCAACTTTTCTGTGTTAAACATTTCTGGGAGGGGGAGAACAGGAGCCAGCCCTTGGCTCCGGTGGGCTGCACTCAGTGCAAGGTCTATAGGCAGCTATCCCAGCCGTGGGGATGGTGTGGGTCTCTGAAGCCCCAGATCTGTTTTTCCCAATGTGTGATGCGCACGGAAAATTATCAATACCTCTCCCTGCCAGATTCATTCAATTTGCCTGTGTTTGTTAAAACTTTTTAGAGAGCACTGGATGCTTAACACTTCATTTATGATTTATGCTCCATAAATGTATTAAAACATTAACTGTATTTCTGTGGTGGCACACTAGAATCCCCCCGGGGAAAGCCCGGCCGTTTCTCAGGCTGCCGCTGGGGTTTCCCTGAGGAGGAGATTATTTGTGTTGTGCTACACCTCTGCACGTTCATTAGGCCACAGCGTTACCCCAGCAGACGCAGCGTGCGGGGCTGCTCTTAATGGGGTAATAAGCTGCAGCAACCACATGAAGGAAACGTCCCTTTTCAAGTCAGAAACAGCCCAAAGTTCCAGGGTAAACATTGTAAAGGTGCAACCCTGCCGATAACCTCTCATCAGAACTGTTGGCCATAGCACTTGGGTGGCTCAGGCAAATTTATCATCTGGATTTAAACTCTAATATTGCTGTGGCACCCATTGCCTAGCCCTACTTTTAACCATGCTCTGCAGGCTCCAAAATGCACAAATGCGGCTGCTAATTGGAAATCGGGAAGGTTAAAAAATAGACAAACTAGTTTTCTGGCTTGTGCTTGGCAGTATGGGTTATTTATGTGGGTGTTTTTTTCAGTAGGGTGTTTTTTTTTTTTCCCCCTCCTCTCTTTTTGTGCGTGCGTGCGATGGGGTGGAGGGGTGGGGGTGGTCTGGAGGGTTTCTTAGTGGTTGGGAAGCTTCACATTTTTCAGTAAGCATTATTGGGTAACAATTGGTGCAAACATTATGGAGGGGGAAAGGCACATAAATCAAGAAATAAAAAAATAGTTTCTGCACATTTTCAAAAAACACGTTGTGCTCTCTGAGGTCCTTTTCATTTTAACCAAATCAGGGGGAACTTGTCCTCACAGCGGCAAGGCAGATGGAACAATAAATCACAGGAACCATTGACTGCCTGCAGTGTACTCTCCGCAGCTGTCACTTTTTTGTCTCTTTGGTTTTAGCTGACATGGTTTGAGGTCCACTGTGAACCAATCTGGACTTTTTTTTTACCGTCATATCCATCAAAACGACCAGTAGCCATCAACCTACTGCAGCGATCGATTCGTTTGCTTATTCTCACGCATAAGCCAATACTCAGCTCACTAGGTGAGGCTTGGGAGAAGCACCTCATTTTAGCTTTTTTTTTTCCCCCCTCTTTCTTTCTTTCTTTCCCTTTTTTTTTTTTTTTTTTTTTTTCCTTTTGCCTCCAGCTACAGCTGTGATTTTCTGAGCAGTCTTGGCTAACGTTATTAAAGTTGCATCATGATAGATATAGAGCAGAGCAGATAACGGTCTCCACGCACAACAACAGAAAAATAATAACAACCGTGGGTTTCGCTGTTGTTGTCAGTGTTGCTTTTCAGGTGTACCGAGACGCTTGCTAAGCTCGGAGTTTCCAACTCATTGCTTATTTTGCAAAGTAAACAAGCAAATGTTATGTGCATAACCTTAGCTGTCTCTGCAAAGGTCAGTGCGTGGCTGCTAATTTCTTCTCCTGCCTTTTGGTGGCACTCTGATGCCAGCGATTACTTCTGGTGCGTTTGGGAAACAAGACGTCCTTTCTTAACAAAAGACTCAATCTACAAAGGCCACAAAACAAAAATTGATTAAAGTTGAACCGTAGTATGAAAGTTTACTTTGGTGTATCAAATAGCCCGGTAAGCTCTACGTAGCAGCTCATCTGTAACGGGGGCCCCGGGGCGTCACCCCCCCCCCCCCGCACCCCCCCGCCACCCCCGCGCCCCCCCCGCCCGCCCCGGGGGCGCCGGGGTTCTTTGCACTCAAACAATGCGGGTCTCCTCAACCCACGTACATATGTGTGCATATGTATGGGCAGTGCTGCCTGTCAGATGTCGCCGTTTGGCCTCAGTTTGTGACCTGAGCCATTGTAAAGTGTCTTTTGCATTTTATAAAAGTATATTCTTCGAACCGTGTCTCAGATATTAACAGGGACTGAAGTTCAGTCCACATTTTGGGAAGCAATTGTTTTGCAGTGTAAATAGAAGCAAGGAGATGTGTGGATAATATAGTGGTAGATTTTTTCTTTTTTTTTTTTAATGTCAAAAAAAGCTGCTTGCTTTAAAAACCTTCAGTTAGGTCAAGTTAAATTTATTATATATAATTTTTTTTATAGCTGAACTCCATGATTTTGACTAGAGGTGACAGCTGAAAAGCACCAGAAACCCTTGGAATTTCAGATCTATATATTACTATAAAGGAAGAAAATAAAGTTCCGCTAGTAGAAGGTAGGTAATTGCATTTACCGAATATATGTAGTTTAAAAAATACAAATTCCTGAACATTTACTTTAAAAAAAAAACGTCAAGACAGTGCAAGTTTCCTTTGTATCTATAGAGCAAACATCCCTGGGATTTGTAATAAAAACCTGGTTATGAGATACAGGGTCCCTCCTGTTAACAAGGATCTTTTAGCAGACTACTGAAATATTGCCATGTTGGAGAGAAGTTATTTAAGGAGTCTACAGGAGCTGATGTTAAGGCAGGTTCTGCAGAGACTGTTTTCCTCTGTACAGACCTTGGAAGGGTGTGTGTCCTGAACGTTTTCCATTGTGGAGAAACGCAACAAACAGCAAAGTGCAGTCAAAGCTAGCCTTGCTCTGTGATGAATTTCAAGGAGCGTGACCAATAATCTTCTACTTATCTTAAAAACCCTATGAAAGTACTAGACCAGTTCCAACAGAAGTGAGAGCAAACTGTGGGAAAAAAAAAAAGAAACCTCACAAAAAAGCCATCTGTCTGAGAACAACCCGAGAATCCTAAGTCCACCCAAGTAGTCACTGCGTGTTTTTCTGCACTGCTAATGGATTGCATATTGTTGAAAATATGAATTACAGAATAAATCAGGAGAGAGTGACAATTAGGGGTCCAGTTCTGTTCTTGGCTGCAGTGGCATTATTGAGCTAATGCTGTTTTCTGCTATTGTGGGACATACAGGATAATTATCCAATTTAAGAACTACTCCAGACCGAAGGAGTAAATGGGAGCTGTCTGAAGGCAGGGACTGCAAGAGGAGCGAGGCTGACAGTCAGTGAGGGTCAGACCACTGTAGGCTGTGGGTTTTCCCAAGGCTTTATACGCTGCTATTAACTCTGCCACATATACTCCACGGTATGAAATACATGTCTTAAATATACCTTTAAAAATGTCTTGTGCTGGGGACATGCCAAACATCACACACTCCCTTTAGGGGACGCATGAAAAGTTACAAACTGTGAGCCCTATTGTGGATTTGCTGCCTCCAAAATTCCTGTTTGAAGTGAGGAAGAGTTTTGGCTGAGGACGGAGAGCGGGATAAGAGGGCCCTGCAATGTAAGGATTAGAAAGGAATCAGGAATTTCGCTATGATTACCGCGCCAGAAAAAAAAGAGATATGTATGAATAATATCAGATAACATCCTCCTGCATGTGAAAGGAAAGCCACTAATTCAGCAGCATTCTTATTTTCAAATGAATTCCAACAGTGAGACAAGCAAGCAGCTTTGTGAAGGGGGACAGTCATTAATATGCCTGACGGGGGCTTTTTTCCTGTTCCTACCAAACGGGATGTAACATAATTCCACATTAAAACCGGGAAGCAGTCCTGCATATTTTCTAATTATCTTTGCTGCGGTCGATGCTGCATCAAGGAAAGATAGAAAAGGAAAAAATAAAAGGGTCTGAATGGACGTGAAACTTTACTCATCACTTGCATGCTAAACAGTGCAGGTTTAACCTCCTGCACATTGCAAAAAAAAAGACATGTGGCATTGCTTCTCCTTGCATGGAAGCCCTGGGCTGACCCAGTGGTGGATCAGGGCAGGATTGGGCCCAGCAGCACTGGCAGAGCTCTGCGGGTGTATCTGAGAGCAGCAATTCGGGTCTGCCCCAGCATCAGCGCAGCGCATCGCTGCGGCGGCGTTCCCCGCTGACTGCGGGGCTGTTTGATGAGTAATTAGGAGACCTTCTCTTTAGTTTGTTTGACATATTTTACAAAACATGTGAATCTGTTAAAAAAATTGCTTGTTCATTGAAAAGACTTAGCTCCTAAATGAAGCAGGGTATCCACTAAGTGGGGATAATTTTAGGATTTATTATTATTATTTTTTTTTCATTACGACTTCAAACACAGTGGGTTCTCTTTCACTTGAAAAGGGTTTTTTTGTTGTTGTTGCTTCTTTTGAGAAGCAATTATTCTGTTGCTGCGTCTGTGTAGCTTCACCCGGAGCTCATACAGAGAAAATCACTGTAATGCTCAGAGATAAACATATCTAGACATACAGATATCCATGTGCCTACTGAAGTTTGTTTGTATTTTATACCCACATGTCACAGTCGGTATAATTAACTACTTATTGGAAAGCAGCAAACAGAGCCCCTGTCTGCTGCCGGACTGGAGGGGGTCATTTTTACTGTCTGCCCTTAAGACATCTCTAGCAAAGAAACCTCCCCTCAAAAACACAAAATATCCCTCAAATATTCCAGCACCCGTACTGCTCCATTTGTGAAATATGCTTTGAAGATCATCTGATGATATGCTTTAATGATTCAACTTCCCCAACTATAGCAGCTTTGTGCGATGAAACAATTGAATTTTACTTACTTTAAAACCACCTGGTGACTTTAAGTGTGATCAGAATTTCCCTTCCTTCAGCACTTTGGTGGTGATGAACTGAAGGGCCACTGCTGAGCACCCACAACTGCAGTCCAACTTGCAGCTTGCAAAATTATAGGCACCAATTTATTATTATTATTATTATTATTATTATTATTATTAAATCAGAAATGCAATTTCAGGTATTTTAAAGCAAGGCATTGGCCCTGTGGTTAAAGTTGCCTCAAGAAAAGCACTGCCATAAGAAGGCTGGCTAGCTTAGATGAAAACCTCACTATACTTTTGGTTGTAAGTGCAGGGATGATTTAAAAGCCCCGTGCTTTCCTAGGCAGCTATACTGCCTATTATTGCTTCAGGCTGAGCATTTTGTTTTTCCTTTTTTTTTCGTTTTTTTCCCTGTGAAGGCTCAGTTGCTTATTTTGGGGAAGCATCTCATTTATTTCAACCTGCTTCTTGCTCAGACTTCTTCCTTTTGGAGAACGGCTGCATGGCACATCAATAAGCTGCAAATTACGTAAGGGCTGTGTTTAACTTGCAGCCGGATTGCCATTTTCATACAGGTCCACATCTTTCAGTGAAAACGCCTCTTCCTGAGGAATCTCAGACGTCTGTAATTGCTGCTCCTTTCAGCACAGCTTAAGGTATCAATATCAACCAGATTTGAATATCATAAGCGGTAAGTTGCTCTAAGCAAAACACAAACATGTCAGTTGCCCAGGTGACATTTTGTAGCAAACAAGGAAATCACAACTCCAGGAAGTGTTGTATTTTATGCCAACAACAATATGACAGTTTTCTCTGTAAAGAAAACATGACACTTTTCCAAATATCAGAGGATGCCTCCGCCGCTCAAGGGATTCCTGTACTGTCACTGAAATGGAAGGTCACAGGCTGGTTTCATGATTTCTATAGTTTCAAAATGTTGTGGAGGAGCGTTTGCACGCTAAATGCTGTAGGCTAAGGGAAATCTTTCCCTTCATCTCTGAAAGAAGTGACAGGAAGAAAAAGGTCCTGCTCTGACAGCAGTAACCTCTAGGTCTGGAGGTTCTGCCCCAAGCTACTCTGAAGCGAAATTACCTATGTTAATGTGTTGTCCTCCCTGTCATGCCTGCGTGCACGTGCAAAGCAGAAAGCACAGAAAATGTGAGGGTACAGCGTGTGCCGAGGGGTTTCTGCAGCCCCAAGGAGGCTCTGCCCAGTGGGAACCATTGCAAAGCTACCCTAAAAGCAACATGCTTTCCCTTTGGCAGCCTGGGCCGTCCTGGAACTGCGGCAAACACTCCCATGCCATTTTGGACATGGCCTTGGCTGTAATAAAGATGACAAAGTTTCTGCAAACAATTTCTTTTAAGAGGTGGGGTTTCCAGTTCAACTTCACAAAGGTAGGGACCTGCTTGCCCCGCTGGTACCTGATTCTTGACGTTTAAATAAACAGATTTTTGCTGTAAGCCAGAAAAAGTATTAACTTCAAGGCTGTGGCTGGGATCAAAACACATTTGTTTCCAGCCTTCCTCCTTTTTTTATTCTTCCCTCTCCCCCTTAAAAAAAAAGCACACCTTAGTCTATAGATTATATACTTCCTGCTGCCCTTTTTATAAGCAATAAGAATTTAATAACTGAGGGCAACTCTATAGTAATATTTATATGGGTCAAGTGGCTTAAAAGTATGCAATAAATGTAAAGTTATGAACCACATTGCCCCTTTTTAAATAATGCAGCTAGCACTAAGATATTATGTTTCATATGCTGGAAAAAGGTGTTTTAGCCCAGGCTTTAGGAGTACACCAGACATGAAAAGTTATACTGATCCCATAATAAAGTCACTGCCTGCTTAATATGGTGTGTTATGTAGAGCTCCAGATCTTAATAGCAGACCACAGCAAGAACGTCCCAGATGATATCAACAAAACCTTCGCTTTCTCATTAGCAATCAGCAAATTCTCCTGGTGTCTGCTAGTTTCAAATAAGGGCAAGTGCCTCTATTCCTAGTGTGAAGCCCAATAGGATAATAGAAATAATGTAGTCTAATCAGTGGTGAACGCAGGCAATCCCCAGCCAGAGCAGGCTGTCGTGCCTTCGGTGACGGCCGTCAGCAGCTTTCTGCAGGTCTTGAAGTCCCAAGGAGAAGGGTGGGAGCAATTGCATGGGGGGAGTGGGGGAACTCAGCCTGGCACAGCTCATCCCATGGCCTCTTTGGGAGAGGGCAGCTACAGACACAGGGCTTCTGAGGATATCTGTGTGAAAACAGATCGTGAGCGCTTTAAATATGTAATGAAATGCCGTGTGTGGTTTGCACGTCTCTCTGTGAGTATGTACGTGGCCACGCACATGGTTTGACTTGGTCCATCTAACTGTCTACCTCTCAGATGAATGAAATGAAGTATTTGTCATTGCGGCATAGAGGACCATCCCTTTGTTGGCTGGCACGTTGTTAGAATCTCCTCACTATCTGCACCTGATCTGTTACCTGCATTGTTACATTTTTCTGTGTTACTGTTAAGTTTTAATATCTTCGTCTTTGGACAATTTGCAGCACGGTTTAATTAAGCACTGGGACAACCACTGCTGTTAGCAATTATGATGGAAGTGCAAAGGACACGAGATCGTGCTCTCATCTTTTACTGCCATATCCTCT